ATTTACTAAAAAAAGATCCTTGCACCAATTCCTCTAATTTTTTCCTGCAAGATTCTTGAAAAGTATTATTGGGAAAAAAATAGAAACAATTATAATTTGACAAATAATGTTATTTTAATAAAAACTAAATTATATTTATTCATACACTGCAATCCAACTACTACGTATTAATTTAGTACTATCCTATCCTATCCCATAAAACAGACGAGCCTGAGAATATATAAGAACAGGCTGAACAGCTAACCAAATTAAATTGGAAACTCACAAATTCTAAAAGTAGCTTTCGTGTCGTGCTCTTCATTTCGGTCCTAACTGTCTCTATTATGACACGCGTCCTATACCATCATCTTTGAAATTTAAACTGATGATTTAAGTGATAACAATCATTAAAAAAATCAAAAAAAATAATTTGAGTATAGTTTGGTACAGAATTCTATCTGAACACGTATTTTTTTTATGATGTCTTACTTGAATTTGATTCGATTACGGGAAGTTTAAGAAACACAATCTACATATATTTGATTGATAAGTTGTCAATTCAGCACGGTTTATGTATATCAATGATTTATAAAAACAGAAAAAAAAGGAAAAACAAAAAAAACACTGCTACCTTATATTGAATCGAATTAATGTTAGATTATACTATTATTCTTATAATTGGGCTTTACTCGGCCCATTTATGTCCCAGATCCGGACAGGCTAAGAAGATGGCTTTTAAGGATAATCGGTCCAGCTTCGAAAGGAGAGTTGTAGTTTTGAGGCCATAAATTATGCAAAGGCCCTATTGTCAATTTAGTTGGTCCTTGGAGGAAAATTATATATATGAATAATGCAATTTAGTGATAGAACTGGAAAAAAAAGGTTTCCATTTGATTCCACTTTCATAATATCCATCCAAGTAATATGACGAGGGGGAGAGTAGTTGAGGCAGAAAAACGATAGCCCTATTACTCGAAGACAAATCCTTACAACACAGATTAGATACATTGATGAGAGCATAGCATAGATAAGGTCGGTGGATTAATCAATCATCTCCTTAGGCATGTGAGACATCCTCCTTGTCCCGCAACTCTTTCATAGTCCTCCTCCAGTTAAAGAAATCGCCAAACAAGGCCTCCATATCCTCCAAGTTCCTCCCCCTCGTCTCCGGCAACAACGTGAAGAAGAAGATCCAAGTGATAGCCGCAACACCACTAAACAAGAAAAACGTCCCCCCAATGGTGATCGTTTTGTAGAGCGATATGAACGTCATGAGAATAACACCGCTCGTGGCTCGGTTAATGGCCACACCCAACCCGCAACCCTGAGCCCTCAAATGCAGAGGGAAAATCTCCGAACTATAGACCCATGCAATCGGGCCCATCCCCATGGAAAAGAACGCCACAGACGTGTACGTCATGAGAACACATATCACGACAACCCATCCCAAGTTATTGGATACTCCTTCGTGACGTTCGATTACTGTTAAGCCAGTGGCGAGCGTGAGCATGGATAAAACCAGGCCTCCGCAGCTGGTGAGCAGAAGGACTCTGCGTCCGATTCTGTCGACCATGAACGTGGTGATGAGGATGAAGATGGTCTTGCAGATCCCGACAGCTATCGTGGCGAGGAGCTTCTTCTCGTCGCTAGTGATTCCCGCCTTCTCGTAGATTCTCGGGCTGTACATCACGACTGCGTCGATCCCGCTCGCCTGCTGAAAAAACTGGAGGCCGAGGGCGCATATGGTGATGTGGAGGACGGGTCGTGTGGGGCTCACGAAGAGTTGTTTCCACACGTTTTGTGCCTTGTGGCCGGTGTGTTTGGGGACGGGTACGGTGTCGGCGTTGAGGTGGTCGGGGAGGCCTGCGGCCTGCTTGATGTCGGCGAGTCTCATTTCGGCTTCTTGGGGAGAGTCGGATGTGCGGTCGAGGACCCGCTTGGCGTCGGCGAGACGGCCTTGCATGACTAGCCAACGAGGGGACTCGGGCATGATGATGACGGCGAGGGCGATGAAGATAGGAGGGATGGCCCCGACTCCGAGCATCATGCGCCAGCTCAGTTTCAAAGGAAGCTTCGCGAAGGCGTAGTTTGATAAGTATCCCAATAGAACACCTGCATTGCATATTATACAATTAAGTTGATAATATAAGTGTAAACATCGTATGATATGAGTGGATAAATATTTTAATTTATTATTTGGATTCCCATTCTAATAATGTTTTAATATAATCAATCAATTTGTGAGATAATGCATGTAGATTTCAAACAAAATCAATAAATTTACTATTTTTCTGTTTTCGATTTCCACAATTAATTAATTAATTAATTAATGCAGTTCGCTGCCACTATTCCCCATGTTATTAATTACAAAGTTAAAACAACATTTTTTACTTAGAACGGTAATACTAGTAAACACAAGTCACAAATGATTAGTCCAAAATTATACCACTATATGATTAAAAATACATTAGACAAAAAAAAAAACACCAGATTAATTAATTACCGAAATTGATGAAGACTTCCGGGAATGAAGTGAGGAAGCCACGGGACGACGCCGGCGCCACCTCAGCCGCATAGACAGGCGCTATCATGAGGGCATACCCGACTCCGAGACCCGCCACAAAGCGCCCCGTCATCAGCACTCCGTAATTGTTGGCAAACCCCATTATGGCGGCTCCGGCGAAGAAGATCACTGACGCCACCACAATCGTAAACCGGCGGCCCATCCAATCGGAGGTCTTGCCGGCCATTGCGGACCCCAACAGAGAGTAAATGTTGATGGTCCCCACAAGGATCTCGATCTGCTCGTCCGATATCTTCAGATCCCGTTTTATGTACAGCGTGGCACCACTCATGACCCCAGTGTCTTCAATTTTTTTAAACCATTTTTTTTTTAGGAAAAAAAACGGATAAAGTGAAATCAAAATTGAAAACATGAAAAATAAAATTTAAAGAAAATAAAGTATTATATTACCATAGCCTAGGAGTATGGATGTCATGGAAGCCATAACAGAGATAAGCAAAGCGTACATATTCCTTTTCGGTTTGTTCAAGACGACTTCGATCTGCTCCGCCATGGCTACCTGCGATTGCTTGGCCGACAAATTGAAGGAAAATGAGTGTTTGTGATTTGGAGGGCAGTTGCATGAGATGGTTAATGGATGTGGCCATCGGATTGTGGGTTTATTGCCCTTTTTATAAGTGAAATATTTTACAATTATCCATGATTAAGGGAATACTTTATTTTATTTTTTATTATTTTCTTTTTTTTTGGTACATATTTTATTTTATTTTGGATTAATGTTTATTTTGTTTTCCTTTTCCAAATGTTGAGTTTGGATAGTTATAACACTGATGTTATAAGATAACGTTATTAAATAGTATGAAATAAAAAGATGATGAAAATTAATACGATATCCACAATTTGCTAACAAAAATTTAGACGATCGGATTTTGTCACCATTATTACATATTTGGATAGGTTTGTTCTCGACGGGATTTGTCTAATAACTATAACAATAATGCTAAGGAGTCAACTGTTAGCTCCATTATGGAGCCAACAGCTAATGGCACGGCTCCAAGTGGAGTTGTCCCACATAGCTCCAATGTGGGACAGTTCATGAGACGGCTCCATGTGGGGTTGTCCCACATAACTCCAATATGGGACAGTCCCACATGAAGCTGTACATTGACTGTTGGCTCCTTAGTATTACTGATAACCATAATCCACCTGACTCAAGATTTTGAATTTTATCTTATCTAAAAATATTTTTTTAGTGTTTATCAATGAAAATAATTGGAAAATTCTTAAATAGACAAAAGTTCTCCCGAAGCACAAAACTATCTCCTGTAAATTAGAGACGTACTNTTGGATTGGATTAATTTTACTTTTCAAAACAAACTCGTACCGAAAATTAGGTATAATTAATAAAGTTATGATGGGGAATGTTGAAAATGTTTTTGAATTTTTTGGATGCATCAATGGACGGGAGTGTTTCTCCAATGTAGCTCTATCCAAAAACTTCTATAATCCAAATAAAAAGGTAGAATATATTCATGTATTTTCTTCAAGTCAAAGAAGGAGTAAACATAACTTGCGAGTTTTGTAATCAAATTATAGAAACTACATCGTGAAAATTAAAATAAGATATCATGAATTTATACAATGTTACGTAATTCAGATTTTTCTCAAAATAAATCCTTCTTTTGATATATTATAATCCGTCACTACAAAAAAAAAAAATATTGTCATATTACAACGGTAATATATTCTGTCAACAAATATTCCAATTGTATAATTCCAGTTTGAACCATTCCAACGAAAATTCTCAAGAGAATATTCCGTTGGAATGGATTTTCCATTCGATTTTTAGTTAGAATTTGATGATTCCTAACGGTTTATTACTGTATGAATTTCTGTTGAATTTTTATTTCCACTCAAATCTGGGAAATCCAAATTTGAATTTCTGATCGGCTAGATCATTAATAGAAATAATATCCAAATGCCAAATTCGACTTCTATATAATACTCCCTGCAAACTGGAAGAAGCTTTTGAGAACGTCAAAAAAAGAACATCTTCTTCCGACATAAGAAATTCTTCCAATAATTCCGAGCCTAACCTTTTCAAAAAAGTACGTACAGTACTCATATTTCAACCGTTAAAAAATCTAACGTTGGAATGGTCAAAATGCAACAGTTATTCCAATAGAAAACTCCAACTGAATATTTTCATTGGAATCTATAGGAAAATTCTAACGAAAATAATATCATCGAAATATCCATTGAAATTGCCGTTGAGATATATATTCATTCAAAATTTTCGTTATAATTTAATCATTTTCTTGGAGTACGTAAATTTTAGTGTACACCTCTAAGAAAATTGCATATCTTTAATCGGTTTAATGAATCTCACTGAAAGCAAAAAAATATCATCGAATATCTTTATGTATCCATAACCGACCTAACATTCTTAGAGAGGTAACCGTACAACTCAAATGTTTACTATTATGTCGGAATAAATTTTACCGACCGGGTTTAAGATAATAATCCTTCTTGAGCTCATATCGGGGACATAATCAAACTACCGCACATGGTGACTATAAATACTCAAACAACACACCATACACACATCACACCAAAACACGTTTGATTATATTGACCCAATAGAATGGATCTCACTTTTTTATGAATCAAAGTAGCAACTACTGTCTGCACGTGCCTGTTTATATCTTACGAGTTAAGAGTACGTTGTAGTTAAATGAGGTTTAGTTTGTTTACTCAATCAATATAAAACACTTATCCTCTCTGGGATTTGTTCAATACACATAGTGTACTAGTGCAACCAATCAGTCAAGACAGACTATACAATTGACACTACAATTGTTCACAATGAGTCCTTCATTTTCATCTAGGTTATGAACCTGATTATTTATGTTTTACAAGTAACCAATATGTGATATTCTTTCCATCTTTGATGAGACAAAATATCCAAATGTAAACCATCAGAACGTAGACTATTTACTTAATGATCCATGCAAACGAAAATCATGTAAACAAAAAGTCGAGCTTTTAGTATACACACTAACACTAGGGAAAAGTAGTGATAAAAAAGAAGAAAAAAGACAAATGATTACTAGAAGACGCTAGAAAAATTAAGAGGAGAAGAAGAAAAATAGAAAAGACAAATATTTTTAGAGGGTAATGAACATACCAACGACTGTTGTCTGAGAAGTCAGAAGGTTTGCAGGAAGAGTTGGTCGGAGATTGAAGGTTAGATTGTCGGAGTCTCTTTTAACATGGGAGCTTAGAATTTGGAAATGGTGGAAAAGGGTTCAAGGTGTAAAAATGTGGATTTCATAGGCAGAGGGTAAAATGTCCCTTGGTTGGTCAAACCATCACAACCATTGGTTTTGAAAGAGATCAAGGGCTCAGGATTGTGGGCCAGAAGATGATAAGACGGTTTCACGTGGACTGTCGATCTGAGGAAGAATCGACAGCTCAAGATGAACGTTATGACATATTGCATCCCTCAAGGTCGGCTGAAAATGCATTTAATGCGGAAAGTCATGGGTTCAAACGATCAAAATTGTTGTATTTTAGTATAAGTCTCGGCAGCTCGTTCTAAAATTGGGTGGGGTGGGGGTGGGGAGAGGGGTATAGATAATATAGCACTCATGATAGCTTAGTGAACTGGCCTGAGTAGTAAGCTCGAGTATGACCAGTTCAAGGGAGCCTCAACTCGATATCAGTGCTCGACCTCGTTAGGGAGCTCGACAAAGTAGCTTAGGATACGGGTCGACCTGAATGAAGAATGAGGAGGGCACTAGCTCCTCGGGGATCTCAGATAGATGATGGTTAGTACAACCTTGAGGTCGTACAAGTAAAGGTCTTGGTTTTGACCTGGTAAACATCTACAATAGATGGGTCACGAGGTCGCTATGACGACCTAATGACCTTAGTGTCGTGTCATGAAGGAAACATAATCCTGGTAAGGATGGTAAGTGTATATCGCTAAGGAGTCTAAGATCTTAGAAACATGTTATGCTAGAAAATGAGAAACGATAAGATCTCTTTCCTAATAAGGAGTCTACTTGAGCAAGAAGATAAATTGGGTATAAAATAAGAGGTTACATGATTCTATTTTAAATAACGCATATTACTCTTTTAATTCACATTTTTAAGCATATTCACGAGCGAGATATGACTTGAGCATCGAATGTTTTCCATCGGGACCTTCTCTACCAATGGCAGATCCAGGATGATTACATAATGGGGCACCATATAATTAACACCGCGCTGTCGCCTCATTTGCAGGTTTGATGTATCTTTTTCTTTTTCTTTTCTTTTTTAATATATGTATACATATATAATATATTGACGGAATGGGCCTGAGGCCACTAAATATATATATATATATAGGGTCACGCTCCAACGAGAATGGTATCTTTTTTTTTTTTTGTATTATTAATGGGCCTCTAAATATTTTTGTTTTCTTTTAATTATTAAATTTATTATTTTGAGTTGTTTGTTGTAGGTTCAATTGTTTTATGTTTGGGCTGTGAGCATAATTTTGGGTCTAGAAGAATTTTACTTTTTTGGACTACCTAACTAATATAAGTTGGAGACAATTTTGTTGGAGGCCTATGACCCCAGTAATATAGGTTGGATCCGCCAGTGCCCTCCACCGTGTTTTGCTTGTCACCGGAGCTTAAGACGACAAGCTGTTCGTGGTTTCACTACTCTAAATTCGGTTTAGAGGCCATTTGCGTATCATTAGTCATTGTATATTTTACAGAAACTTATTTGTATTGATTCGATTTACATTATAAATAAATACATGATGATAAACATATTTTCATTTATAAGGACAACTAGTAGAGAGCCCGTGCGATGCACGGGGTGCACAATTTTAAGGCTATTTATCCAGGTTTATAATTATATACATGAATAAAGAAAAATGTACGGGATATATATAGTACGTGACCTGTGCAAAACACGAGATATATTTATTTGGAGAATATTATATTATAAGATGCAATATTCAATAAAAGTTTATAATACGCAAGAAAATTGTACAATGTTCAATAAAAGTTTTATAATATTCAAGTGGAGTCTTAAAGTCTCTTGTACATTAAGACTACTGACAAAATAATATTTTAATCAATGAGTTTCCTTTCCTTGTAGCCAAATTGTGAATGTGATTTGAGGAGTACAACAAATCGATATATAGCTGACTTGCTTTTTTCATTGTATTTTTTTTTTTTTTTTTTTTATAATGAATTTAAAGATATTCTAAAATATAGCAAAAATTAATTTTTTTATTACAATTAGGAATTTTACTAAATATAAACTCTCAATCTATGGTGTTAATCAACGTTTAAGTCTAAAAAATTAGGAATTTTTACCTCTTTTAATCAACGTTTAAGTCTAAAAAACAATAGAGTTATTATAAGTTTTTTTTCTACATCTTGTAAAACATTAAATATGAGCATGTTAGGGCTAGCTTATAAAATAATTAATATATTATCTCACTAAAACATTTATACTAATAAAAATTTAATTTTACCATATAAAATTTATCCCTTGATATAAGAGAAAGTAACATTTTTACTTATTGTTGTTCACCATATAATATTTAATTATTATTTTATTATATAATAAAAAAGAAATATTGTTAATAGTGTAGTAGAATTGTTATAAAATTATATGATTTTTTTTTTTACAATATGGATTTAATATTTTTTTATGATTTGATAATATAAACAAATCTATACTTAATTTTGACAAATAAAACAAATAAATACTTTAGTAAGTATTTAATGTATATACTAAATAAGAATATATTTGGTATAATCACATATTAAATATAATCAAATAAGTCAAAGTGTACATTTTTATTTGGTTTTTGACTTTTTTATTATTAAAATCTTTTTATTATACTTACCTTTTTAAAATAAAACAAATAAATAAATTAATTAAATAAATAAAATATTATAATACCAAAATAGTAATGACATTTAATGCAGTTGACTTTTATGGATAGTAAATGTAGTAAATAGAATCTCCTTTTATATAAGTATAGATATGATATTATATTATGTTGCTCAAAATAGTAATGCATTTATTGCATTGACTTTTCAACTTACTAAATTTCGTAAATGGTACACCTTATTATATAAGTATAGATTTCGAACTAATGTGAAAGATGTGACTGTACATGATTATGACACCGAAGTTTGTTATCTGTATATTGCAAACCAATCCCACTAGATTATAGTAAAAGCCCAGAACAGTAGGACTTTATTAGCCCATTAACATCTACTAGGCCACAATGGTATATTGCAAACTTGTATGTATGTCTGTGTGTGTAGCCTGACAAATATATGTAGAAAACCAATGTATCAAACAAGAAAAATCAAGTGCTCAAGTGCTTGTTCTATTTTCCTATAACTACCATTAAAATTTAGTTGTTAAAAAATATAAATGAATTCCAATTTAATACTATAATAATTCAACCCTCTAAAATACCAACACTATAGTTGTCCAAAAATAAATAAACTCCAATTTAATACTATAATAATTCAACTCCCTTAAAATACCAACACTAATCAGCATGGATAGAAGTCCTATTTTCATGTACTACTTCGAAGTACCAAAGTTGACGTTGACACATAATATTATGAAGCACCAAAAGTTAACGTTGTAAGGACTTTGCATTAATACATAGAGTATGATAGGATATGATCAATTCCACCATTTTACTTGTATCATTAAATTTAATTTCATATTTAAACAATTCTCTAACAACTAAATTGTCAAATAAGATGATTTCCTGAAGGTTGTATTTAATTATTTTGGGAGAAGTGTGCAAGTATATTAAATCTTTTATATAGGCATCACCAAACAATATTCATCATGGATTAGCATTCTATATGAAACATAATAAGAAGCGCATTTATAATTTTCCCTTTTTAGCAACCAAGCCTGAATCCAGATAATATGCAGCTAGCCCATATGTCATGAATCATGATATTCGTTTCATAAACAACTAAAAATGATGGCCGTCATTATATTCATTATATATCTTTGGTTACAAAATTATAAATGGAGAATTTCAGAAATTATTAGATATCAAGATTTAAAACAATTCGGAAAATCTCGAAATTAAAATAGAGAAATTAATTAATCTACTCAACTAGTAAAATTATCTATCGAATTGAGAAAATAAATGAAAATTGCTGTTGCTGTCGGTGGAGAGAGAAGTAAACTAATTCTACATATAAATCCCTAACAGTAATATACTGTTAGGGCTTTTACATCTTTTTTACAAATATATTCTCTTCCCTGATACAGTCATATATATATATATATATATATATATATGTAAGCCTATTTTTCATTTTTTATTTCCTCAAGCAATTTGACAAATAAATTAATGCACTTCTTGATACCAGTTTGGATGCTTTCCTCACCATTTGGAATTTTCATTTTCTTAAATTGAAGTAAATTTTAGGGTAAATCAACAGAAAGTTGAGAAAAAAGAAATATCATTTCAACGAATCAAGAACATTGATTACAGAAAACAACAAAAAATCCACAAGAAATAAGAGGAAATTTTTAAAAATAAAAAGCATAAGAAATTATCGTCGGTGAATATTAATTAGGCGGGCAGGAATGGCACCATTAATCAGAATTAGGGTTTTCTTTTTGTTAACTATACAGATAAATCCACAAGAAAACACAATTTTATTTTTTTTTATCTGAAAACAAAGAAATCACTCAAATAAGCAAATAATACTAGGTGTTAAATGTTTATTTTATTTTAATCTTATTTTTCTTTACCATGGAAAAAAAATAGTGCCGTACCATTAAAAGGGTTGATTTGTGACCTGAAACGGCGCGGTGGTTTGGACACGAACCCAATGGGGCCCCTCACCAAATCAATTTCTATTTATTTGTCTATTGCGTAGGGCTATTGACAAATCCAGTGCACCTGCACAGTCTAAATAAATCGTCTTCCTATAATTATATTTAGTACAACTTTTATTTCCAATTAGTTTACAAATATGGCGAAAATCAAATTGGACATAACAAGAGGTTGACACGCCAAACTTGACATAATGATGTTTAAGTATAATGCATGCATTTAGTTATTTGAACAACCTCATATTGAATGGAGTATAATATGATGGACACATGGTATGTAGTGTATAATACATTAGATAAATTAGTATAAATATATTTCAAATGATAAAACTGCATAACAAATTATCACATCTATATATATATATATATATATATAGGATGTGGTTCAAATGAGAACCAAGTCCTAGTGTGAGAACCGTGAGAACCGCTATTTTTAATTGTATGTAGTGCTATGATTAATTGTGTTTTAGTGCTATTTTTAACTAGGATGTATTTGATTAAAAATAGCAACAAAATTTTTATTAGCATTTATGAAAATGATAGCACCATGTAATATTAAAAATAGCATCATACACAATTAAAAATAGCATCAAATATGGTTCTCACGGTTCTCACACCAGACATAGTTTTTATTTGAACCAGCCCCTATATATATATATATATAAAGAGGAGCAACATAGCATTTAATTATATTATCATGCATTAAATTTTATTATTCATCCAAAATTTTCAACATTCAATTTTATTTTTAAGTTACAAAATAACTTTCTTTAATGTCATAAATTATGAGCATAAATCAATCAAGGGAGTTACAAAATTGTACTCAAATTTTAAGTCACACCCACTCATAAAAATGACCGGATATATTAGCATAAAGAAAATGGTTGTAACGACTCTTTCATAGCAATTACTTTATCAAAATCAATTTTGAGAATTATTTTCTTAATTCATATTTTTTTCATGAATTAAATTATGATTTATTTTTGTTTTTTTTTACATTATTATATTTTTAAAGTATTGTTCTCTGTGCAAATGAACAGGTTGATTACTAGTTTACTTCAATTGTAATCTAAACATAACTTTTCATTTATGACAAATTAAAGCACGATTTTATAATTTTACGAATTGAGGTATGAACTTAAATTTTAACGGCCAATGAAATTATATGTCCGTCAATATTTTTCAGATATGCCTTGCAATACAAAGTTTTGTAGGCTGGAGCCCAATTTTGACTCAGATGATTTGTTGCCCTAGCACAATATCTCAACCTTGGTTTAATTTTTNAAGCTTAACATTACTGCATGAGCTTGGTCTGAGTATTAAATGAATGAAGCTCCATCAGAAGATATTCAAACGAAAACATATCTAACTGGAAGTGTTGATATTTTCGCAACATATTTTGTTTCATTGAGATAATTTAAAATATTGAAAGGCCTTAGAGCTTGAACAGAACTCTCTAGCTGGGACTATAACCTGAAGGTTAATTAATAATATTTGTTAATTTAATCTGAAAGGTTACATTTGAACAGGACTACGGTGCATTGAATAAATCACATATTTTTATATTGAAATAAAATGATATAAATATTATATATACAGCCATTCTTTGTTTATGTATACTATTCTATTATTTGTGCTATGACTGCTTAATTCACTGCTTTATAACTATGTTAATTAATTATGTGAATTTTTATAGCTAACTATATCACCATTAACTAATAACAAATGTTGTTTTGAGGCGATTAGACAGATCAACTCATTATATTTGTTAAAAAATGCACTTTTTTATTCTAAATGTGTCATACTTTTGTTTACAGAATTTCAAATTTTCTTGTGATGCCCACATTTTATCAAATGGAAATTTTGGACTTGGCTCACCATGTTAACTAAGGGCTCAAGCAAACTTGATCAAGCTCGAGTGTAATATTGACAGTTTCATTAGGTTTTCCAAAATAAAATAAAATAAAAATATAGGGTCAGGCCAGAAATTCAAGACCATCTCTTTCTTCCCTCCAATTGATTAATTACAGACATAATGCCCAGCAATTTTAACTATAATCCCACTGTGATTGAACCCTAATTCACCCTTATAATCCCAATATTCCCAACTAATGAATTATTGGTACCTGAGAAAGATACAACAGTTTTTTACTGTGTGTAGCTATAAGAGGGTTCCAAAATTAAATTTGAGAACAATCAATCACAATCTTTCGTTGCATGTACGGTCACAACAGGACTCACAATTTTTTTTTATTTTATTTTATTTTTTTTTCAAAATAGATTAGTCATTCTTTTAACACATCTCACGATCTTTTCAAAAGAATTCACACATAAAAGGACAAATTAGCTACTCATTATTATGAACTGATTTTATATCAGTTGGTGAATTGGAGAGTGCACCACTGTAGCACACTTGCCTTGGATTTTAATGCTTTAATAATTATTTCAAAAAGATAGGGGACAAGTAGACAAATTCAAAAGTAGTTTAGATGTATTTCAATCACCATTGCAATTGAAAAAAACCAAAATAAATAAAAATAAATAAATAAATGAAAATAAGGAAAAATTTTAGCTAAAAGAATCGACAGTAAGTCTCTCACCTGAATCAACTGCTGAGCAGTTTGGGCTTGAGAAGAAGTTCCGATAATCTCAACCGTCATCTCACTAGGAACTCCCTTAGTCTCTTGAATGGTAATNATCCCGATCCCATCCACTCTCTCGATTTGCTATCGGCTCACTACTTAACTCATCAAAACCCCCCTCCAATTCTCGAGCCTACAGTTCCGTACAGTGAGGATGCCTGCCAGGGGCCTTCCGGCCCAAAATCCACCAAAAAGGATCGGCACAGCAAGATAAACACGGCCCAAGGCCCAAGAGACCGACGGGTCCGCCTCTCTATCGGCGTGGCCCGCAAATTCTTTGACCTCCAGGAAGTTTTGGGCTTCGACAAGCCCAGCAAAACCCTCGACTGGCTCCTCACAAAGTCCCGCTCCGCCATCAAACACCTCGTCGCATCCAAAAGCAGCGTGATTTCCTCTGACGACGACGAATCTGACCAAATAAACAATAACCTCACTCAAGAGAAGAAAAGGTCGGAGAAGAAGGGAAAATCGAGCAAAAAGAATAATAATAATAATAGTTCGCAACAGCTGGCAGCAAAGGAGTCGAGAGCAAAGGCACGCGCGCGGGCCCGAGAGAGGACGTGGGAGAAAATGTGCGTCAAGCAGCGAATATTGGGCACGACGAGCAGCACTACCGGAAATTACAATAATAACCACGATTTGCTACATAATTACATCAACGGCCAGCTGGAGGCCTGTAGGGCTTACGAGCTTCATAATCATGATGACCTAATTAGGGAATCCGAAGCCGCCGCCAACAAGAGGAAGGTCAACGCCGCCCAGACTTCTTTGACTTTCGGGTTTGATAATAATAGTGCTCCGTGTCCGTACAGTAGTAGCGTCGGCGAGGGGGGCTGCTGGGACAATATGGCTAATTTCGAGTCCAGCTTGAGTGCTATTTTGGATCAACACAAGTTCAATGTTAGGTAAAGAAGATACAAATAATGTAAAATGTAGATCTGGATTTTGATTCTTCATTCTGTTTCTTTCATTCTTGTTTCGCAACATATTTAACCGAAATAATTTGGTGATTTCTGTACAGGTATTCGAACAACTAGTGAGATGGGTTTTGGACGAGATTAAATGTTTGAGGAATATTAATGTAAGTTCAACTGCATTTTTTTTTTTATCCCCAGGTTCTTCAGCAATTCTGAAAAAATCAAGGGGTGATTGTAATATTTTTTTTTTTCGTTTTTCAATATTTCTATTGTTTTTTTTTTCTTTTTTCTTGATTTCCAATTCAATGTGGCCTAATGTGATGTGTGTTTGATGATAAATTCTGTACCATTCTATCCATATTTGTGCAATTTGCTCCCATGACATCTTTGCTTGTGGTTGACTAGGTTTACGGCCATTGCCCCGTGGTCCTAGGGTAAAAAATTGACAGTTGAGCCTTTTTGGTTTCCACTTATTTTTTTTTATTAACTTGTCTTTGTCAATAAATTTGAAAATACTTCTGAGTAGGATTGATTTGGTCCAGGTAATATATTAATTTGGAAGTATAAGTAATAAATTTGTCACATGATCTTATATATATTAAGAAAATTATATATTGTTTGAGGCTGATGTTGAACAAAATAGTCATCAGATTAGTGTATTTGATGATGACTGGTCTATTAGGTCCAATTCCAAGTTCATTGTCTTTATCGATTGAATCCTCTTGTACAAAATTATTTTAAGGACAACAGTATCATAAATTCAAAACAGTTGCAAATAAATTATGGTGTACTATATAAAGTGATTGAAATGGAGATGGAGATCAAAGTGACAACAGAGTAGGCGTTCAATCCAGTTCAACATCAAAGTCATGACACAATAGTTGTTTAAACAATATGGTGGACTTAATTTTGGGCTACGATGACTTCCATTGTTATTCACATTGAAGGCATTACTTTAGATGACTTATGGGTATGCTCATGGTTATGGAGCACCTAAGCAGCTTGATCCTTGTGCTTCTACTTTTTACTAGTATTTATTTACTATTTAGGCTTACTCGATGTGCATGATACAATATATAATGAGATATAGTATAACATTATTGANATTTTGCTAAATTTTACCATTTCATGGTAGGATAAATTTCACCTGTTACCAAGATTTTTGTTGTATATTTAATAGAGGATTTGAGATGAAAAGTTTGATTGAACCTGATTTGATTTGTCAATTATCTAATTTTGTTACGTTGGTGAGAAATTTAAATAAAAAAATAGAACGGTAATTTTAATAAAGAATTAAATACATACATATATTAGCATATACATAAACATATTATATGTATTTAATGATAAAAAAATGTTTCTCTTATTGTTTGAATATACAGAAGCGCATTAAAATCAACTTTATTTTTTAAATTTGTGTACAACATCAAAATTCATTTAGGATTTTCGTTATGTTTATGTTTACTTGTTATGTAACTCATAATGATTATTTGTTTATATTTGTTGTACTTAACGGTTATTTTCTTTCCATTTAATGTGTTTTTTTTTGTTGTACTTAACGGTTATATTCATTTCATTTAGGATTTTCGTTATGTATATTTGTTTTAATAAATGTTTTCTGTATTTAATATTTTACTATCTGAACTTTGGATACCTAGTTTATTTAATAATTAATTCATTTTCAATTTTATAAAATGAATAATAGATATTATTAAATCTCATATTTGCTATCATTTCCATCAATCATATCTTCCAGGTTATATGCAGAGCAATATATTAAACGTAATTTCCGACTGATTTCACCTAAATTGCATAGATTGTACAATCTTGTACAAACAGTGGATTTTATAGTACTAAAATACTTTTCCTGCAATTTCATGAGCTGTTTGATGAGTCAAACTTTGACACAAGGCTCCATGCAACTAACAATATACAACCATGCATGATTTAAAGGAAGATAAAAAATAATAAATTAATTGTCATTCGAGAATTTCTAATGAAATGAATCCCACCGGTTATCATTTAATTTAGTTGGTTAAATTGAGATACTAGAATTGTCCATCTATTTTTGAGTTTGTAATTAAATATTATTCAAAATGTAACAATTAACGTTTATGTTATGTAATAATATGAAATTATTGAAAGTGATAAGTAGTTAATTACGTGAGTCGATGAATAGTGAATTAAGTTGATATGATGTGTGAGAATAATTTATTGATATTATATAATTGTAAAAAATATTAGAGTTGAGTTGAGTTGGATTGTATGGGTGTGTTTGTATATAAAGTAATTCAATTCATACTCAACAACTAATTTGAGTTTAACTCAACCTCATTATCCTCAATATTATCAATATAATAAAATAATACCAATCAATCATTCTTACATATTATATCAATTTTAATTCAATATTCATCCACTCACATAATTTTAACTAACCATCACTCCATATCATCTCTCTTCTATTTTACATCAAATCGACTTAATTATTTTATTTTAAATATTATTTTAATATAAACTCAAATTCCCACAAACAACAAATCTTACCACATTTTTCAAAATTAACCATGGTTAACAAAAAAAATCATTTTGCACGAATATATTTGTATTCAAGCATGCCCTAAGTGTGTTAATTAAAAACAAAATAATTTGATTTGTCAAAACCGATTAAAACCAGTTATGATCCTTATCCAATCACGTCCTAACTCCTCATTTCATCAATCAATACTATTTCCATTGAAACACTTTAATCTTGCCTCAAATAATATATATATATATATATATATATATATATACACACACACACACACATATACCTTGGGCACTCCCGAGCTCGATGACCTACGTCTCTACAACTCCCACACATCTCCATCATGGCCACTTAGAGCCGGTTTTGCATCCCTTAATCGAAGATATTTAAGCTCTTCCTATAAAGAAGCTTATTAGGTAACAACAACATCATTACAAGAAGAACCAGAAGATGGGATAACTTCATTCACGGGAGTTCTCTTACGAACACTCTTCCATTGAGAATTTTCGCTTAGCATCTGATAGAGCTCATAGATCTCCTCCTCCATATGGCTCCGAATGTCTCCTCCGGCCCGTGGTCCACCATGTGTTGCAATGTTTGATGAATACCGTCATAGAAGAATTGGTTCAACACTTCAAGGCAAAAGTAGTGGTGGGGGCATTGCAGTTGGTACCCTCTAAAACACTCCCACGCCTCACGAAAAGTCTCTCCCGACACTTGGCTAAAGCTCGCCATTTGGGCTCGAAGGTCCGTAGTCTTTTGGTGAGAGTAATACTTTCCCATGATCTTTTCATACACCATCAATTGGTAAGTGAGTTTTGGAGTAGTGTCTTGAACCACGTCTTCGCCCGGTCCTTCAAATTGTATGGAAAACACCGAATTCAGAGTTGGTTCTCGTTGAGGTTTTGTAGTGGAAAAAGTGTTGACCGTCGCATAAAATTCTCGTTGAGGTTCTCTTGATTGAGATGGATAGTTTTCAAGTCATAATTCCTCGTCGCCTCACCAAGAACGAAGCATGATGTGTTATCTCCAGTTATGGGTCACGGGAAATACCTCATGTTCGGAGGCGGCGGTGGTAATTGCTCTTCTTGATCCGCCATAGTTGTCGGCTCGGGTTGGATCTCGTCTATGTTGAGTTCAACGTAGAGTTCAATCAGCGATGTCTTCTCTTGAGTACCACGTCTTCATCTACCTCGCATACACATAAACAAGAAATTGTACGCGTGAAGACACCAATGGGAAACAAGAAACCATTCACATGAACAAACACAAACTAACTACTAAAAAGCAAGCGAAATCAAGAGAAACACGGAATTAAGCAAAGAGCACAAAAATCAAAAGTAACACATAAACAAAAGACAATTAATAAGTAAACTTGACATCCTATTTGCCTTCCCCAGCGACAACGCCATTTGTTTTGTAGATTTTTAGGAGAATAGATTGATAACCGAGTTATTCGAACCTCGGGTCGTCTTTCAAGGAAGTCTCTTCGGAGCTTTGTCCACTTAGTTAGTTGTCAAACGCACAAAAACGAAAAATAAAGTCCTAGACATTCTAAATGATTGATTTGAGGAATTTTTAAACTAATTTAAATTAAGAAATTGAAAAACGATCAATTAAAAATGCAAGTTTAACTAAAGACCTAAACTTCACTTACATCGAAGTCTTCAAAACCCGAAAACAAGCTAAAAACAAAGAGAAGCAAGCCTCACCTAATGAACTAGATACTAAAGTTGACCAATTGATTGCGAAATAACTTACCTAAGAACTAGGAGAAGCAAGCCTCACCTAATGTAAAATGGCCTTTTTAAACAGTTTTAACTTTTATCAATTGGGCCGCCAAGCCCACAACATAAATCGTCATTTTTCTTGTGTAAAAAGATAGCTAATTTTCTATCATCGTATATTTCTCCAACCTTCTCTGTGCAATTACATCTAATTCAGTTTTCAACGAAAAGGAAATCTGAGCACGGAAACCTCGAAATACTTGGCCGTAATGGACTCCGTGAAGATGATTCCACTCGAAGGGCGCGTCGACGATCCACTCCGCTATGGGATTCACGGTGTGAAGAGCGATATTATCGAGCCTCACCCCCTTGAATCTGCCCAGCGCACTGTATATTTTTATATTTTCGTTTGGCTCGCTTTTTTATTCATTGTTTGTTTGATTTTCGAACTTTTAATTTATTTTGAATTTGATTTTTTTGCTAATTGATGAGCAGGCGAAGGCGAGGCAAGAAGAAATGAAGAAGAAAATACTGGCGAATACTTACGGGGCAGCGTTTCCGATGAAGATGGAGCTCGACCGCCAGATTCTCTCCAAGTTTGTGTTTTCCTAGCTTTTTCTGTTTGCTATGACTGTTTTTTTCTTTTTTTTCTTCTACTGGTATCTTGTGGTTTAGAAGCTTGTAGGGTTTCTTATTGGTGTGAATATTTCTTTTTCAGCTGTGAATGTGTGTGCATCTTGTTTCTAAATGCTCTTGTTTGATAGTTAAATAGGCAAGACCATTGTAAGAGTTGCTAATCTAAACTCTGAATAGGTAAGCTAACTTAACGCTAATTATTGAGGGAATTATGTGACTTTGATGAAAGTAGAAGTTTGAAATAAAATCTTTGAAGCCTTGGATTTATGTTGGAGTTATTAATATTGAAATTGACTATTGATCTGTACCGTAGATCTCTAAGTCCAAGTTTATCTGTGTTCAATTCGCATTTGATGTAGGAAGCGTAGATAGGGAGGAATTGAATGAAGAGAAAGTTCTTCTCTGTACTGCAAACTCGTTTCTGTAATTTAGAATCTGATCATAACCCCCTTACAATGAAACCAACCACCTGTTTTAATAATACAAGTCCTAAAAAACCAACTAAAACAAGTTCAACACAACATAACAAGAAATAAACATAATTAATAATAATAAGAAATGGAATAACATTTAAACTAATGAGACGAGTCGATCATATTTGTCGAGATATGCTAATGCAATCTCGTCCATTTCTTTTCACTGTGTATACTCAATCAAAGTTCAACTAGTGCTTGTGAACTGGATAATATAACATAAAATCGCGTTCGTTCCATATCTCTACAATTACCTGTAGTATGTCGAATTGGTATTTGATTTGTATCCACTGATTGCTTATGCTGTTCAGTATCAGTCATCTTTATTAATAGTTATTGGGCAATATTAATCATGCAAAGGCCAGTGTTGTTAAATAGCAGCCATGGAAGCTCCATAGTGGTATGGCATGGCGGAATTTAGCTTGTCTGCGATACCATGGCTGCATTGTGGCAGCTTTGCTATGGTGGTTCCATAGCAGCTTCCATGATCATGATAACTATGGTGGTGTGGTGCCCCTTGTGGAAAGTTGTGGTTTTTAACGAGATTCTGCTCATACAGAAAGAATAGGTAATGGCCATCCCAGTTTTGCCTAAATCTATCCAGATCTGTTATTAGAAAACCCTAATCCTTGCTGCAAAAAAGTGAAAAGCCACCACCCCGCTGTCTACCAAACCTCCGACTACCGACCCTTCAGCGACCGTCCCCCGGTGGCCCAACCTCTTGCAATCCTTATTTTCTTTGTTCCTTCTTTTGTTCCCTTTTCCCTGTTCTCTTTACATGTTCTTTTTCCCTACTATTTATTTCTTTATCTTTTTCCGATTCTTTTTACTCAATTTAATTTCTAGATAGACTATTGGCTACCTTTATTAATTAAAAGAGATAACAGAGATTCTCTGCTATCCATTATGATGTTATACATGTGTGGATACATATGTTAGGGTGTCTAAATATGTATATACTGTTTTTTGGGTCCAGCACTCCTGCCATTTTTTTGCCTCGCCATCCGCCATATATATATGACAGTTTTCTTGCTCGCTTCCATCCGCCATTGATAACAGTGGCAACAGCAGAGAAACAAAAACATCAGGTGTACCATTTTCGTGGAAATCTTTTGGAAATTGATACATGTTAGGCATATAGATACTTCTTGGTGGATTATGGGTTTTTTTTTTTTATAAGAAGAGTGTTTCAGTTTTTTCTTTTGATATGGAACCACAGGATGACACATTATCCACAGTCATCCACAAACGGTGTATTGAAACATGTTAAAAAATAAATAGACTTGTACGTAAGTCAACATTTAATTCGTGGATGGCTCCAAACAGGAGCTGCCTGCTAGATCCATAGAATTTATGTCCTATTATGTACAGTATTTGGGAACTGGTTAAATGAATTTGAATCTTTCAAAAAAATTCTATAGAGATGCCTTTAAGAAAATGAAAAGAGTTTTCCTCAATTAATATTTTCATTGTTATTAAAGTAGTTGGTCTGGGACTTCATAATCTACGAACTTTTAGTCTTTAATCACCCAAGGCCATTGAGCTTATTTGGATGGATTTAAGATCCATAGTTTTATAAATTTTAAATGTTGCTTTGATTCTTGTTGTTTCATTTACAAGTATGTAAGTTCTTTGGAAAACATTCCCCCAACTTCTCGGTACGACTGTAACTTTGATGCCATCACTCTTCTGGCTGACTTGGTATTGCTTTATTAGCCACATTCATAACGTAGGTTCTAAGGTTTACTTTGTTGGACATATTCACCGTTTATTTTATTTGAATGTCGTAAAACATTAGAATAGATATATCCATTGGCAATCTTATAGATGGCCTTTTACTGGCAAAACAATATTAGTCTTAGTTGCAACACTTGGAAATAAGATTGACTTTTGATCCTTGACAAATGATGCTCTGGTACTGCCAAAAGCTAGCTGCTTGGAGGAAATTAAAAACATTTAGCTTCAATTGAGCAAATTTTCTTCTTTCAGAGATGGCTTTGGGAACACATATAGGACCATGATGTCTGAGTTTAGGTTATCCATTGCAGTTTAGCAAAGGGGATTGTTATGTTAAGACAGTACAAAGTGCACTAGTTGGGCTTAAATTATGAGATGAGGAAGGCCTTCTGTTGTAAATGTTTATCTTGCCTATGAGCTTCATATGATGTTTGAGAATTGTTAATTGAAAATCTCTATATTAGTTATCTTATAACAATTGATTAATAATTGTTGCCTCTTTTCTTGCGCAGATTCCAAAGGCCTCCTGGAGTCATACCATCTTCCTTTGTAGGTTTAGAGGCCTTTACTGGAAGCCTGGAAAATTTTGGTTTTGAAGATTATCTCAACGGTAATGATGTAGTGAGATGGACCGTTTGAAATTCCTTATAATTTACTTTTGCTCATCTTTTTAACAAAGTAAATGTCAAAGTGAATATCTTCGTTCTTATAGACCAAACTGGTGGTGCTATAATTCAGGGGTTAATATACTTCTGATTTCATGCAAAGTAAGGCTTTAGGAATTTAGGTGACACACTTGCAGACACGAAATAAAAGGATAGAACCGCAAGAGAGATTTTATTTTATATCCAATACTAATAATGAGGAAGGAATCTTTCAGTTGTGCATCTTTTAGTTGTGTCCAAATAGATGTACAATGGTTTTAAATTTTAATGCCCATATCTTTAAACTTTCAGATCCCAGGGAATCTGAAACATTTCGCCCGGTTGATATGCATCATGGAATGGAAGTTCACCTTGGGCTGTCAAAAGGACCACCATGCCCCAGTTTCATGTGAAAGCTCGAGATTGAATTTTATTGTGGCTGTGTATTCGACTGTTGAATTATTGTGCGGGCGATCGAGATGCAATCAATATTTGAACATTTCTTTGGCAGTCCAAAAAATATGGAGGATATTTTAGCTGTGATACATTTGTTATGCATCCTGGAACTGTTATTTTTACTGTTTGGCTTCCTTCAGAGTATCCTGCACTTACGGGTGTTTTGCTCCTAATACAATCCTTTCTTATGATCCATCGAGTTTAGCAAAGCTGAGATATCATTCAGAAACCTTTTCTTTTACAGCAATGACATTACCCATGATGATTCACTAGGCATAGGTTTAGCAAACGCCGGTGGCCATTGATCTGTCAACAGCTCACCGGACCGTATCGTAATAGAGAAAAAAATCAAACTGCACCGTAATGGAGGTAATAGAGAAAAAAACCAAACTGCACCGTAATGGAGGAAAAACCGAACTAAACTTCATCGAAATTTTTTATTGCGGTGCGGTTTGGTTCGGTACGGTTAACCAAAAAAAAAAAAAATGTAACAGAAACAAAATTTATTCGATACATTATATATATACCTATAATATAACTTAAACTTTATTCAGTTAAAATCACACCATTCAACCATAAAATCGAACCACAACGATTTTTTTTACGATTTTTTAAAACCTTAACCGCACAACAAACCGCAATCTTAAAACACCGAATCGCACCACACCGAATACAGTGGTTCGACTTGATTTTTCAGTTCCAGCTCCATTTTTGCTCAACCCTAAATTGGTATACTACAAATAGTAATTGTAAAAAGATCAATATCAACTAGTGTATACCCCGTGCGATGCACGGAAACAATATTAAATTAATAATATTATAAATAGACTTCGAGTTTGAGTCACTCAATGACGGAAGTGGAAACTACTATTGTTCCTATTTAAAAAGAGGAAGCAAAAAAAATAATTATAAATTAAAGAGGAGGATAAACAATACTTAATAATTATAAATTAAAGAATCGGGGTCAAGCAATGTAAAATTATTTTGTATAAGAGAATATAAAAAAATTTGATTACACACCATTTCAAAATTATTATTATACATTTTTGTATGGTTAGCTTATAATATTTGTAAAATATTAGTAATTAGACCGATTAGCTTATAATATTTGTAAAAATATTAGTAATTAGACCGATGAAAATTAGCTTATTAAAGTAGATAATGGATTTCCAGTAGTAATTATGAATTAGTTTCTATTTTATTTTATTTTTTCTTTTTAAAAATAATGGATTTCTAGTAGTAATTATGAATTGGTTTCTATTTTATTTTATTTTTTTAAATCTGTATAGATAAGGGATGAGATTTTTTAAACACGTGAGATCGTATGCAATGGAATTTTGTAACAGAAGAGATAAGCGTGTAGATGTATACTAAAAATAGGAAAAAAAAAACAAATATTTATTGTCAAACAACGGTTTTGATAAACTAAAAAAATGAGCCGATTTTTTTGCCTATTCAGATTTGTCCAACAATTACTATATTAGGATATATTTAATGATTTTGGCGGGAAAAAATTTCTAAATTTGTAAAAATGTTATTCTTTTTATATAATGATAGATTTATCTTCCCTTCAAATTCTCAAAATATAGAATACCATCAAAAGAGGTTTGAGGATTTAATTGGAAAAGCCTCTTTAAAATAATATAAGTATAATAAATAAATAATTATTAAATATAATCTGAACCTAATATAAATACATAGTACCAACATAATATAAATAATTAAATATAATTTGAACCAAATACCTAGGGTAGGTGTACTAGGTATATTTATACACTACAATTGAATTGAATCGAAAATCCGACTACATACACTACACAAAGTTGCGCAGTTATTATTATTTAATAGAAAATCTGACTACATACATGACACAAACCTGCAACTCCTTTACGCTCAACTCAAAGCCCCAAAAAACAGAAAAAAGCTCACCAAACCTTAGCACCGCCGGGGACCTATGGAACCCCGCCGAGTAGTACCCCGCGCGGTCATCGACCCGATAGTCCGCCAAGTCGGGTTCTTCGCCCCCACGGGTCGAACCGATCCGGTACCGTCGTCACCGCCAGTCCCCGACTACTCCCCCTCCGGCAACACGCTGCCCCTCGTCATGATCCCGCCGCCGCGCCACCTTCCCACCGACCTGTCTCGGAACTTCCACAGGGCTCCTGGCGAATCTTCAATTCCCGTCGGCAGCTACAATCCCTCGGAATTCTTGTCCCCTTCCTACACCACCGATTTTTCCGAGGATCTTAGGGGTAGTTCCGGGGAGTCCGCTCCGCCGGTGCCACCTGTCGTTTTGGACCCGGTGATGGCTGTGGATGGGGCTGAGCCGGATAAGAATGTTGTAACCTCCGATGTACGAGGTGATGTNCTTTCTCGTGTTCTGATCTACATTGTTCTTTTCTCAACTTTTCCCCCTCTTTAATTGGGAATTTCTTTTGAGATTTTTGTGTTTTATTCCTTTCTGGAACAGATGGAGGACCAAATGTGGACATTGGGCAGGAGAAGAGGGTTAATGGTGAGAAGCCATTGAAGAATAAGACCACGAAAGCCGAAAGGCGGGCTATTCAGGAAGCACAACGAGCTGCCAAAGGTTTGTAATTTTAGTTTTAGTTATGTGATAGGTTATTTCACAGACCATTTGTTTCTCATGAAGAACTGCCTGTTGTAATTAAAGAAAAGACCAATGCATCCATATATTAGGCATTGTTCTTTATGTATCTTGGTTCGAGCACTCTATTACATAGCTGACTAGATGTATGAACTGAGCTGATATTTTAAATTTGTCAGTTCTTCCGTTTAAACACAAAAAAGAACGAATTTTCTATTTGTTCTCCATTTTTGCATTGGTTAGGAAGGCAATCTCATGAATTGCATTGTGTTACTCATATGAACTGCTGTCACAAGTTTTGAGTTTCATGGTTTGATTGTTTTATTGTGGGATGTTTTTTGGTTCATGTCTGATTGATAAGAATCTTCAATAATTCCCCTTTTTTAAGTTTAGGAAGGTGTGTTTTTTATGTTTGCATGAGGAGAAGTGGTCATTTTAGTGAGGAATGAATGATAATGAGCCAGTTAGTCCTTCTTACAATGATTTTATGCATTGTACACTTTTAGCTTCAGCCATCCCTGCATGATTCCATCTTTCTAAATAAATTATTAATTCAAAAAAACCTGTAATTGACATGTTGCTTCCTAGATATAGTGGTGCGTAATCATGGTAGACGCGAAAAATCTCCTCCGCGTTATATATTGGTTTAATTATAGTTGTTCCTATCTAATCATTTCCTCATATCATTTTTAAGGGTACAAAATAGTTGGAAGATATAGGTGAAAGCTTTTGTCAACATACACAGTCTTATTTTCTCTAGGGAAAAGTGAAAAATATTCATGGCACCTTTCATTGCTTTCCTGAATACTGTAATTTCTAGGTGAAGGAAGTAAGAAATCTAAAGCTGCTGGTGGTGCTGCTAGTTCTACCAATATGGGGAAACCTGCAAAGTCTATTCCACCAAGGAAAGAAAGCTCTCCTGTTGCAGCCTTCGAAAAAAGAAGCGGTGAACATCAGACGGATAAAGATAGGAAAAAGGACATCCCTCATGCACGGATGCAGTTTGATGATGAAAATAAGGTTGAGAAGGCAAAAAAGCGATCTGTGGTGAAACAAATAGAAGCTAGGAATAGAGTTGAGCTCTTTAGGCATCTACCTCAGTATGAACATGGAACAAGGCTTTCTGATTTGGGGTCGAAGTTCTTCCAACTTGATTCCATTCATTCTGCTGTTTACAAGGTACTGTCTTTTTTCTTTTTCTTTCTTTCTTTCCTTTTTTTTTTTATGCTCTTTACTACCATTGTTGACATGCTGTAACTTGTAGAGACAAAATTTGTGTATTTTTTAGGTTTAATTTCATTGTTTAGTTTGATTACGAAACCCCATACTATCTTTCTCACCGCGTAGAGCTATTGCTTGGAAATAAAATATATTGATTGTGTTTGGATTTTTTGGTTTGATATGGTTAATTTTGAAAAAAGTGGTATGGTTAGTTGTTAGTGGGATTTTTAGTTTATATTAAAATAATATGTAAAAGAAAATAATTAAAACTAATTTGATGTAAAAGTAGGAAAGAGATAATGTGAAGTGATGGTTAGTTAAAATTATGTAAGTGGATGAATAGTGAATTAAAGTTGATGTCATGTGTAAGAATGATTGAGTGGTATTATTTAATTATATTGATAATATTTAGGATAGTGGGGTTAAGTTAAAGCTGAGTTAGATTTGAGTTAAAAAAAAGTAATTGGATAAAAATGATTGGATTTTTTTGGAAAAATTTGTATCCAAGCATATGATTTTGATCCGTAATTTGGTCTCTTTTAGTCTCCAAATTACCCCTATTTTCCTTCTCACTGAATGGAATGCTAATATGCCAATTCACGATCCTCAGGTTGGGATGTGGTATTTAGCCGGAGACATTTCCGGTGGCAACGCCCGGTGTATTGCCATGCTTCAAGCATTCCAAGAATCCATCAAGGACTACACCACACCTCCCGAGAAAATCCTCGTACGAGACCTAACCGCAAAAATCAACACTTACATCTCTTTTCTAATCGAGTGCAGGCCCCTCTCCATCAGCATGGGAAATGCCATCAGGTTCCTCAAATCCCGAGTCATCAACCTATCCCCGAACCTATCAGAGTCGGAAGCAAAAGCATGCCTCATCTCCGATATCGACCGTTTTATAGACGAAAAGATAATTTTGGCGGATAAAGTTATCGTCAAGCACGCCGTCACCAAGATTAGGGATGGCGACGTTCTCCTCACATACGGGTCGTCATCTGCTGTCGAGATGATATTTTTGCATGCCCATGAGGAGCTCAATAGAAAGTTCCGGGTGGTGATAGTCGACTCTCGTCCCAAGCTCGAGGGGCGAAAATTGCTACGCAGGCTTGTGGGAAGGGGTATCGATTGTACATATACTCATATAAATGCGGTTTCTTATGTGATGCATGAGGTGACGAGGGTTTTTCTTGGGGCGTCTTCCGTTTTGTCGAACGGGACTGTTTACTCGAGGGTTGGCACGGCTTGTGTGGCGATGGTTGCGAATCAGTTTCATGTGCCGGTCTTGGTATGCTGTGAGGCTTACAAGTTTCACGAGAGGGTTCAGCTCGATTCAATTTGCTCGAACGAACTTGGTATGTGGAAAACTGAAGATATATGGCTATGTTTGGTAACCAAATAAGCTAGCTTATAGCTTATTTGGTTAGCTTATGAGCTCCCTGTATTTAAATAAGCTTCATTTGGTTGGACAAGCTTTTTTTATAAAGTTCGAGTTTATCTCATAAGCTTGTTTGGATAGTTTTTCAAATAAGCTCGTTGAAAATTTTATTTCAGCTAGTTTATCAGCTTATTTTACCAAACACTTTTTATCCTGCTATAAGTTATAAGCTATAAGCTCGAAAATCACTTATCAACTATCAGCTAGCATATCAGCTACTCTTAATTGGGGTGTTTTTGTTAAGAAAACTGAAGTTCAAGGGGATAGTGCTTGTAGTACTTATTTTCCTAGTTATTCCGCAGAAATTGTTGATCAGATTATCATTGCAGGTGATCCTGATGTTGTTTCAAAGGTTTCTGGAAGAGAAGAGATCAATTACTTGGATGGTTGGGCCAATAGCAAGAACCTGCTTCCCTTGAACTTGATGTAAGGCTTACAATTGCTTTCGAGTTTTAGTATTATGCGGATGAATGGTGTTATTATGGTGGTCCTCACTCTTTGGTTATCTGCTATACCAGATATGACGCCACACCTTCAGATTACATATCGATGATCATAACTGACTATGGAATGGTATGTTGGAATGTAGTTATTAAATCCATATAACTACACTTTGCAACTTTAGTTATTACATTTTTATTTTATATCCATTGACAATCTCCAGCATATTTCATTGTCGATCCATTTTTTTCGACATTTCTATCTCTTTTATCTGGTGAGACAACTTTCTGACGAAAATCTATATCCAATCACCCATTGTTACCTTCTATTTTGTTTTGCTTTGCTTTGTAGGTTCTGTTTCATTATGCTTGCCTTTTATTACAATATTTCAATGAGCAGTTCATTCACCTTAATTGACTTGTTTTCTCTATGCCATATGTGTTCAGATACCACCCACAAGTGTTCCTGTTATTGTCCGTGAATACCGCAGAGAACAATTGTGGATGTAGGCAGTTACAATGCATCTTTGGTAAAATTGTGTTATAGATGATGAAAAGCAACAATTTTGAAGACCCGCCTGTGGCAGCTTTTATTTAATCATGTTTAATCCCTTTCGGAATTAAAGTTGTATTTGATCCGTAAATTGCTTTTGATTTTGGATCAGAACGTCATTTTTATCGAACTCGTGAAGAGCGCTTCTGATCTACCTCTCTCGTCGTTTTTTGGATGCTGTATTATGTGAGGAGGTGTTTTCCAACTATTTTTTAGGATACTGAGATTATTATCATTTTGTGTACTTTAAATGGTTGTCATACATACAAGTGCTGCTTTGGGGACTAAGACGGTCTTTTTGTGGTAAAAATTCATTTGAAATAAAAGCATACACCCAGGTAGGTATGGTTTTGGGCAGTTGATAAATTGATTGTATTAAAATATGAATGACACTAAGTAGGCTTCTGTTTCAATAGGTACATAAACAATCAAGAACAATGTTTGAAATATTATTATTCTGGTTCAGATCTCAATGTGCATGAAATTGGAAATCGCTCTACCTTAAAAAGATCTCAATGGAAAAAAATAAAGGTCTAGCAAATCGTTGAGTGTTGATGTATTTCATGAAAGTGGTTCAGATTTGACATATGTGTAACCAATAAAAAGAAAGAAAAAAGTTCCTCATTAGCAAATCAAGAAGGGAGCACCTAAATGCTCTGTTGATTCTTAATTTACTCTCTGTAAATGTGGTCTAACCCTATCAAAACCACAATTGTTCATTGTGTTTCTGTCTGCAGTCCCGATTATTCTATTGTACCGAGAGGAATATCCCCCTTTCCATAAACGGGCGAGACGATCCCAAGAATCACGAAACCAGCCAAAACCACAACTAACATGCCCAACGAGTTCACCAGCATTGCCTCCTTTGAATATCGGGTTATTATCTGATGCATCTGCATAAATGTGGCCTTCTCGAGAAAACCAGTGGCGCATGTGGCCACAGCTAGACAGTAGATATAAATGCCAAAGTACACGTGCCATGGCAACAAGCTACTTCGACTGTTTCTCGATCCTCCAGGATACCAAAAGGTTACAAATCCAGAACCCCACTGCACGAGCAATTTATTTGGTTTGAAATGAGAATTTTGCAAAAGAGGGCTAAATAAGAAAGTTCACCCTTTCTTTAACTTTTTTACTAGAAAACTCCAATATCTTCCAAAACTACGAGTAAAAACCTTACGGGTGAATTTCATAATAATCACTCATGATAATGATGCAGATAATGGGTACCTGAATTGCAAACAAGAAAAAGCAAGCTAGGCCAAGCCACGAGTGGAGACTGTAGAAATTGTCAACGCCTTTCTCGATGTGAAACTTCCAAGCAGCCCATATTCCAATGGCGCTCAGAACAAAAGCTAGGAATTGGAGAGAAAGGTGAACCAGTTTTTTGAAGTTTTTGGTTCCCGATACAGTCTTGTACGCTAGCATGGCTGCAGAAATCTATGTCAATCTCACTTAAAATTACAATTCTAAAAATTATCAAAAAAATGTCTAGATACATTAAGCACAAGTTCATGGAAAGAACATTATACAAAGGGAGATGTCCAGTTCACATCAACAAAATGCAATGCTAAAGGCTAAAGGTACACAGCCATAGACAACTGAGTAAAGTAGGCTAATCCATTCTAAACTAGATGCAGAAGACAAGTTTTAAATCTAATGCAATCTTTTGAACGCAATAAAATTCCCCATAGACAACTGAGTAAAGAAGGCTAATCCGTTCTAAACTAGATGCAGAAGACAAGTTTTAAATCTAATGCAATTTTGTGAATGCAATTAAGTTCCCCATTTGATCGCTCCCTTCATTGTTCATTGACAATGTCCAAGACATAATAAGTTCACACGATTTGTATTACCCAATATTGTGACCTACTTCTTCACCTTGTCTGTTTGTTCAACAACTTGTAGATTTATCATGTTCAAGTAGATTAAAATGCCACATAAACACTCTTGATTTTGACCTAAAATGGTGAAACTTGGATATAATCAAGATATTCAGACATTTGTATAGTGGCTTAAATTGCCCATACCTTCTCCATTGAGAAGCACAAGGCTGATCACCATCAACACAGGGTGAACCTGAAAACAAATACCACACACAAAAAAAAAAAAAGAAAAAAAAATCCCGATTCATAAGTCAGTTCAAACAACGAAAATTGAAATTCACCGTCAATCTTAATAGTACGCCGGTAATTTTTCAGATACCCAATTAAAAATTTAGATTGAGAGAGAGAGAGAGAGAGCTGTCATTTACGTTAAAGATGAGAGCCTTGTCCTCGGATACGAGCGCCATTCCGCCTCTGTAGTGCACAGTCCATATGAAGAGCAGCAGCGCAACTGCAACTCCGATGACTCTCACCGCCGTGAAAATCGGGAACCGTATCACCGGAACCGCCATTGGATGATGATGCTTAGAAAGGGATGCTAATTTGTGACTGAGTTTTAAGAGTGATTAACGAGTAAAGAGAGAACAATCATCTCTCTGCAGAAAAAAACAACGGGACTCCAATTTTTTCATTTCCTTTTGACTTTTGGTTAGATGCTTTGTTTGGTTCTTTCGAGGGATAATTAATAAATTATAACTTAATAATAATGTATTAGGAAAAAAATTGGTGAGAATATTCCATAATGTACACATTCACAAATATAAATGAAATTCAATACGTTATATGTGTATTTATGTAATATTTAAAATCATAAACTAGATAATGAGTAAATCATATTTTATAAATTTTATCGTTAATAAAATAAAAATTATAAATATAAACTATTTAGCATACATATTAATCTTTAAATTGATACAATCTTGGTTGATTATGACCAATTAGTTGGATAAAATAATATTATTTATTGCAATTGAGTATGGAAATTTAAAGTGTGCTTATACCATAAAAAATAATTAACCAAATTTAATAAAAAACTTGCTTAATGAATTGAAAAAAAATAAATAATAACAACTTTAAATAAATTGTTTGAAAAAAGCTACAGAATAGAATAAAGTGACTTTATTATTAGTTAATAGTAGCAATTATTGTTGGGAAAAATACGCTGAAATTTCCATGAAGTCGGATCTATAAAAGTGAAATAAAAAATAAAAATTGGACACACCAATTTGATAACGGAGTTCGGCCAATAATGCCTACGTCTCCGGACTACTGCAGATATTTTATTAGGAGAAAAGAAATACACTCGTGTTTACAAAACACTCTCAACCTTACTCACAACTCACAACACAAATACACACAGAAGCTAAATTCTTGCTTCTTGCTCACACCCCTTTTCTCTCTTTTTCTTTTTCTTTTTCTTTCTCTCTTTCTCTCGTGTTTTCTTTGTGTTTGGTGTAATTTGCTCAGCAGAATCCATCTCTATTTATAGAGTGGAAGTGCACAAAAATTTCAACATATGTGTACTAATTTTTCAACAAAAGATAGCATCCCCGGCTGCTGCAATTTTCTATCATTGTGGGCTGCACTTTTGTCAAATTAAGTGGATTAACAATCTCCCACTTGAGGACTGATTTCAATCTGTCCTCACACCTCAATTTCTGCAGTAGTCTTCTCTGGTCTGTTATTCTAGCAAACGAACTGAAGTTGAGCACAACTTCAGTTTGTCAATGGTCACCACCTTCGTTAGCATATCTGCTGGGTTCTTGCTTCCTACAATCTTGTTCAAAGTCAACACTTCATCCTCGAGAAGAGATCTGATGAAATGATATCGTATGTCAATGTGCTTAGTTCTGGAGTGAAACACTGAGTTCTTTGCCAGATGTATTGCACTCTGACTGTCACTGTGCAAGACACTCTCCTTTTGAGTGAAACCCAACTCTGCTAACAATCNAATTATATAATAAAATAAATAAAAAATAAAATTGTTTGATTAATGTAAAAGTAACGGAAAAAGGCAAAAGAACAAAATTTTATTACATTCATTGCTAGCAATTGCTAAAAAATTTATATTTAAAATTAAAAAAATAAAAGAAAAATCATACACTTCAGCTCTAGTTGAAAAGATCATACTGAACACAGAACAAAACTCAAGCTTATATAAATACAAACGAGCCAAACTTGAGTTTGCACACGTTGCTTTGTTCGGTTTGGCCTATATTGCAATCCAAGGAATCACCAATCATTAATTGCATATAGGCCTGTAAACGAGTCGAGCCTAGCTCGAGCTTGAACTCAAGCCTTTAACGAGCCGAACTCGTTAAATAAACAAGCATGAAATCGAGCCCGAGCTCGACTCGTTTACCACTCATAACTAGCCGAGTTTTGAACCGATCTCGAACTTTAACGAGCCGGACTATGAAAAATTAGATAAAAGCCTTATTGAGTGGAGCTCGGCTCGTTAACCAAACAAGCTTTAAATGAGCTTGATAAACGAGCCGAGCCGAACTCGAGCCTTAACTAGTCGAGCCGAGCCAAATTCGTTTAATTTAACAACATTAACTGCATCTATAAAATAGATTCAGAACTCCATAGTCTAAACTCAAACAATCATAATCAGTAAATTTGCAAATTGTAATTACAAATACTCATTACAAAAGTCCAGCCTGAAGATCAATCTCTATAATTAGAATAAAAAGGGTACAAGTATCTTTCAAAATTTTAAACCATACCCTCTACACAGTAACTTCTCTTTTAAAATTTCGCTTCTGGCAGAGAATATTACACCAAATAAAATTAAGGCAGTATTTGAGCTTTGAAAAATAGTGTTCCTTTTTCTTTGTAATGAAATGCATTTTCAAGCTAAAATCCATCAACTCCTCCAGCTACATTGAGAGCGACTAAAAGAACCCGAGCTATAGTAGTCTTCATTGCCAAAAGCCATTCTGTCAAACCTTCGAATCTGTGCCGAATGTTCTCTAGAATCGAAAGTTCCACTCCGGCTCTGTATGATTACACTGCTCAAATCATCCAACTCCTCCATGGAGTCTAAAGCTCTCGCTAT